GTTTTGACCCCCAAAATATGCGCTTGGCCTTATTTTTGGGGAGGTCTTATTATTTTTGAGGCACAGGAGGCCTCAAAACCACATGGCTCCACATGAGCATGGTCACCTCATGGCTGCTGCTGTGTTGCAATATTTTTATGGAGAGCTTATTTTCATGGGAGGGCTTATTTTAGTGCATGCACTCAAAAGCCCAATGTGGCTTATTATCCGAGGAGGTCTTATTTTCAGGGAAACGGTATCCATCCATCCATCCATTATTTTTATCTATCCACCCATCTTTCCTATTCATCTTATCTATCATCTATCTATCTATCTATCTATCTATCTATCTATCTATCTATCTATCTATCTATCTATCTATCTATCTATCTATCTAATCTATTTTGCTTTTTTCTACACTTTAGGGCAGCCCATAGCATCTGGGGCAAAAGCTTGAAAGAATACATAAATGTTGATTGCTCTGTCCCCATGCTGGCCCTGGCAGAGAAGCTGATGCAAGGTGAGATGGGGCCTGAGGCTGTCTTTTTCCCACCGAAAGTGTTTTCCTTTTTAATTTTTAGACCGGCAGATGACTTCCTTTCAATTAGGCCGCAAAGGTGGTTGCTCATCGCTCTGTTCTCTTCCTGGCAATCATACACCTGTGTCTCCTTCACTTGTGGTTCCCCTGTGTCCACTTCGGGTTCATCTGTTGAATTTCCACCCCTCTCCCATTAACAGGCCCCTTTCTCTATGGATTTACCTGTTGTCTGTTTTCTTCCTAGGCATCTCTGAATCCAAAGAGCTTTCCTTTCCTGGTGTATACTTCAGGCAATTTCCCCCTGTTGGGCCAAAGGTACGCACAATTCGCATAGCTGCATTCCAAAGGGACTTTGAGTCCCTGAAGACTTCATGACTATAACATGCCGACTCTTGAGAGCTCTGTTGATCTATGGGTTGAGGATATTCAGTGCAACATTTTCCCTGTGGAATCTTTCTAGCACTCTCACAAGAATTAACTTTACTGACTTATTTATAAACTCCGCCTGATCCCGTTGTGGCTTAAGTAACTGAAACTGATCTACTTTGGGCACATTAATTTATAGGCTGGAAAGTTTTACGATAGTATTCTAAAATGTTAGAAACTATTCATTTGGCCTCGATTTAAGAAAAAGGACTCCTATGCAGTATATAAAAGAGAGCTGTGTTTCCCAATATATGTAGATATACTTACATCATAAATATTTTAAGTAAATATATCTACAATTATATATTTTATGTTTTCTGTGTACTTGTAATTGTACAGTTGGAAGAAGAGACTGGATTGCCATCTGTTAGAAGTGGTGTAGGGTCTCCTGCTTGGGTGCGGGGTTGGACTAGATGACCTACAAGGTCCCTTCCAACTCTGTTATTCTGAAGAGCCATTTAAGGCATGGAGTCTGATAGCAAACTCTTTAGTGCAAAAATTATGAGAAAGAAAAGGGAATTGGTAATTGTACTTTTCCTCATGGTTAGAATAGTTTTCCAAAAACTAATCTTTTATAGCAATGTTTTTTTGAAACTTGGCAACTTTAAGATATGAGGAATTCAATTCCCAGAATTCACCAGCCAACATGTAGAACGATTGAATAAAATGAGAAGCTCTTACTAGGATGATTCTTTTAATAAAAACTAGCCGATATCCCAGCATTGCCTGGGTATTTATTTATAGGGGGAAAATGTCCGGACCAAACGTAATTTCTAATGTTGGATTTTCATCCTTACCAGAGAGAGCCCCCTTGTGGAGTACTGTGAAGCCGCTACCATGGTAACTCAACTGCACTGTATAATAGAAGCCATTTTACCGCAGTACAGTAGAAGCCATTTAAAGGCACAACAGGCTGCATCTTAACAGAATACACACCCCAGCGGTGTTATGGATGTCTTACCCCCCACTGTATTTTTCTCCAGAGAGTAATTTCATCTCTACCAAGTTTGGTTGGAATTGCTTGAGGCATTTTAGAGTTATGCTGGAACATACACACACACAGCCATTTTTATATAGAGAGATGTATTTGTCCAACTGGATCCTCATGTTAAGCCTGGGAGATAAAGAGAGCATGTCATACTTGGCCAAGATTTCAACTTTTGAAGCGAGGGACTCTTGATTTCTACCAATTGGTTTTCTCAGACAGACTTTGTAATTGGAGAATGGTTTAATTTCCATTTTCACCTTCCCTTCCACAGATGACGTTTGACCTCACAGTATCCGCTTTCTCTCTCAATGACCTGCCAACCTATGCTCAGAGGAAGGCAACAGTGAAAAACCTGTGGAAAAAAACCAACAACTTTCTGGTAAGGAACATGCTCTGAATTGCCTGGATGGATTCAGTCCGTTGATGCGAGATGGTTACTCTCTGCTCTGCCTTGAAACTGCCTGGTTCACATGGAATGAATGCTCTTTTGGAAACTTCTTTGAGTTGAGAGATAGCAGCCTGTGGATCGTGGATCGCCCTTAAGCACTCTTTTTGCATTTTGCTGAGCGTTACCGGCTGCAGGAAATTTGTCCATTCTTTAGATGGTGGTTGTGCTCCATGGTGTTCCTGATGCCGCTGCCTGAAAGCTGCTTCAGCCCCCTTAACCCTCTTAATTGCCCTTCTCTGAACCTTTTATCCAGTTATTGGAGTCCTCATTCTTGTTCAAACAGATTTATGTGATAAAAAGGATTTAATTTATCCCATGTATAGCCTTGGAACAAGAAATCAACGCAACACACATACACCCTAATCTGCCTTTCTCAAGAAGGCAGCAACGAATGGTACTCAGCAGGGGTGGAATCAAATAATTTAACAACCATTTCTCTGCCCTAATGACCAGGTGGGTGGGGGTAGCCATGGCGGGCATGGCCATGGGTGTGACGGGCAGCACGTGGCCTCCTGCAACCCCCTGGGAGCAAAAACGGGCCACAGGGGGAGTCCCCCTCCGTGCCCCGTTTTGGGCCTAGTAGGCCTCTGCTGCCACAGGGAGCAAAAACGGGTCGCGGGGGAGGTACCGCACACACCTTGTTTTGGGCCTAGTAGGCCTCCCTGCACTTATCTGGGAGCCAAAATGGGGCGTGGGATCTCCTGAAAGGGGGGAGGCAGGAAGGGGCGGGACCAGACAGCAGTTTAACAACTGATTCTCCCGAACCGGCTGAATCCCACCAATGGTACTCGGTCTTTGACCGCATGAAAGAAGATGTCTTCTCAGTACTTGAAGAAGGAGACCAGTATGGGGGGGAAAGTCAGGATTTTTTTTTTAAAGTGTTAAATGCTGGAGTGACAACCTGAGTGGCAGGTCCTCCTTATAGTCTACCCCTTCTCCTCTGTTTTATATCCTTTTCTAGGTTCTGGTTGAAAATGGAACCAAGGAAGGCCATCAGATGCTCATGGAGGCCCGAGATGTCATTTTGAAGGTGAGTCACCTTTCTTCAGTTAATGGCCTGCTTAAAAGAAGAGGGGAGGGGGGGAGGTTGATGGTGAAAGAAAGGTCATGCATCAGATATGTCTCATTAGATGGTTCTTAAGTTGGGGATAATTTCATGTGCTTTGCCAGGTTGAAAGCAAAGATACCATTAATAAGTATCTGTTTGGATTTTGGTTCTCTCCCACATGCATTGCAGGTGTCATTTAATTGTTCCACTTCTTCTTTACACCCACATGCTTATACAGGTTTTCCAAATCTGATTTCATTAAGCAGTGAATGGCTTATTCTCTCCTACCCTAATTGCAGGGAGAGTTACCTCTATTCTGAAGTGAGTATAAGGTGTGAGCTTTCAGGATTCCTCCCCCCCCCCCACACACACACACTTGAGGGGATGGTTGTTGTTTTTCTTCAGTCTTGATTTCATTTAAATGTTAATTTCCCAAATAATGTTCCAACCGAGGCTTCTCAAGAGCATGAAGCGAACTCCAAGTCCTGACAAAAACCCCTTTTATTAATTGGCTGTGAATTCTGCTCATTCACATCCAGCAAAGTCTTTCAAGGGAGGATTTACAGTCACAGACCTTATCTGGCTTGGAGAGCTGACAGGCCGATATCTGCAAAACTTGGCAAGGAGTCTCAGAGGATCAGGATAGCAATAGCAATAGCAGTTAGACTTATGTACTGCTTCATAGGGCTTTCAGCCCTCTCTAAGCGGTTTACAGAGTCAGCATATTGCCCCCACAGTCTGGGTCCTCATTTTACCCACCTCGGAAAGATGNCTGGCCCCCTCTCTGCCTCCAACACAGAGCCCTCATCAGAGTCTTCCCCAGACTCCAGGACTGGCCCATGTTCCTCCCCAACCTCCTCACTCTCCGAATCTGTTGCCAACTCACTACTGTGAGAAAGGATTGTAAAATTCAAAAGGCCCACAATCTGTCTTTGTCCAAATAGTACCTACAAAATTGAGGAAGGATTTCCTTGTTCCTCTGTTACTTTATTTTAAATATAGGACCATTCAAAACAAACAAAAGTGATAGAGTCTTTTTCTGGTAGATTCTTTCCAGTCTTGGATTTTGTTGTTGTTGTGCAGCTCTAAGCTTCCCCATTAAGGCAGTGAGTTAAAAGTTAAAGGACACACATTCTCCAGCATTGTTCATGCCTCTTGATTTCCTTGTCCTTGAATTGCTTTGCTTCATTAAGATTTCTAACTGCATAGTTGCTACTCAATCAGTTTAATTGTGGTTTATTTGGAGAGTTTAATATGTGTATTATTTGGCTGCCCCAATGATCATTTAGAGTATGATGCTGATATATTACTACTGCTAATTATAGTGGAAACTGCGGCAACTGTATCTCTTAACTATAGCATAAATGGAAATTATTGGGGATTATCAGAGTTGAGGAAGAATGCTATTAGGTTTTTTTATTCACAAGGAAGTTACAGTCTAGTGTTGTTTTTGTTCCTCATAGGAATTGAGGTGGATGTTGGTAGTCTACCATATACTCCACCTAGGACTGTGACATGGTAGCTTCCCCTCAGCCATTGTTATATATATTACATTTCTTACCAGGAAATTCAAAGGTTTGCACATTGGTTTCTAAAATTGTTATTATCCCAGTTTTTCCCACCTAATGCAGGAAATTTCTTGTGGATTTCATCTTCTAGAATTACCCAGCCAGCTTGGCTACCGCTGAGGATTATGACTGTTGAAGTCTACACATTGGGAAGTAGACCCGGATTCAAAACTGCTTTAGGCCAATTTTGTCTGAATGTGTTCCTCCATGGATAATTTGAATGTTTTTTGCTCCTTAGCAAAACTTGGGCATGTTGCTACTTGCTTCTTCGTTTTCAGTCTGCCCTTATCGTCTCTGTGGGTATGGGGCCACTGTGGAATTATAAGTGGAATGATTAATTCATCCATTTACATTGATACTGCTTTAGAGTAGATGCTTCCGCTCATGTTTTCAATTTGTGTTGTGATTGGCACTGCATTCCTTGTGATCTCTAGGCTGGAATACTGCAATGTGCTCTACATGGGGCTGCCCTTGAAGAGCATCCGGCGACT